CATCAGGTACGTTGTACATTTGCTGATAATGACAAAACCTTGTCGAAACGTTGTGCATTTGCTGTTATGTTAAACTTATATTAAAGTTTTTCTTCATTACACATTCAAGCCGTCTCCAGCCATTATACAGAAAATATGTAAATGCTATAAAGAAGGAAAGTAGTCAGAAGCCACAAACTCAATGCTATTGTTGTTAGCACACATCATCTAAAAATCCCAATAGAAAGAAAAACAACAAAAAACACACACACATGTCTTCCATTGTGTTTGTGAAGTGAAATAAACGGGAGAAACAGAAATACCAAGAAAAGTTAAAATTCAGGAGCATACACCACATAAACTATTTTGTAATACTGATCTATCTGTTATAGCTTATCATGCTAATGGAGATCAAGCACGAGAGAAAGAAAGACAAAATAAGCCTTCTACATCCAGCAAGCTGATAACACCTTTAACTAGCCTAGTATAGAAGTAAACAAAATCTGGTTACTACTCTTGAAAGTATTCAAATAGTTCGTTGACTTAGGCCTAAATAGAGGAGTCTCTAGCTGAGTAGAAACAACGCCAGCCCTTCTATCAAGAAGATCCATGATCAAATCCCGATCATTACCACTACAAACCCCAGACATTCCGAGAACTCCCCTGAAGACGGCAGCAGATTAGCAGCCACAACGTAAGACATAAACTAGTTAATAGTGAATATTTAATGTAAAGAAATTGTAACTAACCAATAATTATAATTAGGTGATCGTATAAGTTACTAATCACGACTAAACTATTATATAAAATCAAACACAAAAATAGTATATTTCTTCATTAGGTATGTTTTCAGAACCACCTTATGAAAGTAGTCGATTTTAAATTATAAATCTATATGACAAAAAATAATAATTGGTTTTCATTATCATTTTGGTTTAAACTTTATTTGTAAAAGTAAACTCAACAGAACCCAATAAAACTATAGTTATAGGCTGGAAAGACCTGATAGTTATCACACAAGGTTTGGAATAAAACTATAGTTATAGGCGGGAAAGACCTGATGGTTATCACACAAGGTTTGGAATCATAAGATCCATGTTCGATCCACAATATGCCCCTGAACAATCTGCACTTTAAACTGTTATTTATGAACAGTAATTTCTACTATTCAATTCAGAATAGCCATATGCGACAGACGACAGTTGATGCTGACTAGTTTAAACTAAGAATGACTATTTTAGAACTCTCCTAGCATGGCCTTGTGGTTAGGGTGCTCGACTCGCAATATGCGGGTCACGGATTCGAACCCCCTTCACCGTACATGTCCGCCTTTTTAGCCGCGAGAGCATTATAATATGACGGTCAGTTGTACTATTCATTGGTAAAGAGTAGTCCAAGAGTTGTTGACGGGTGGTGTTGACTAACTGCCTTCCACCTAGTCTATCACTGCTAAATTAGGGACGGCTAGAGCAGATAGCCCTCAAGTAGTTTTGCCCTTGTGACTTTCATGTTGAAAATTTCAATACTGTTTCTATATTTTTTCCTCAGAAAAGGTTATTTTTTTTTCGAGGAAAAAAAAAACAACTCTCAAAAAAGTTAATTTATTTACCTCTTATAGCATAGATGGGCTTTATAATATAGAAGATTGCAGTAACAAAAAACCATTGTCACTATCTTCTTAAGTTCAGATCTCCGACTACCGTATTGTCACCCACTTATAGATTTTCAGCCGGTTTCTTACTAAGATAATCTGTAACTAACTGTCATAATTTCGGGGTGGCTTTAAAAAAATTGAGCTGATACCAGTCCTTATAACCTAAATTTGGAAACTCTCTCAGGAAGAACATTCTCACTAACCTTCAAAATTTGTTAGACTTCTCATACCCTACATTGATAACATCCGAGGGGCCCTAACTAAACTTGACAAAGAAAGATATCTCTAAACACTATCTCTAATTTCGTAACCAACGAATATTCTCTCTCAACAAACAATTTCTAGACTACGTAAAAGGAAATCTCTCTTAAAACATATTATTTCTAATCGTCATAACTAAGAAAAACACTCTGTAAACACACCATTGGTTATATTCAAAAAAGAAAAGCTCTCTTTATACGTAATACTCCTAATCTTAATAATTAAGGCAAACTGTCTTAAAACAAACTCTTTCTAGTCTTCATTACTAAGAACTTTCTAAATGTACTACCTTTAATCTTTATAAATAACGGAGCTTTCTCCAATTGTGTTACTTTCATACTAAACATACTTCTAATCTTAAAACTCAAGGAAAGATCTCTGTGAACATACACTATCTTCAATCTTGATAACTACAGAAAAGGTGTTTCTAAGTAAGTAATTTTGATAATGACGGAAGGTATGTCTCTAATAGTTATATTCATTGTCTTCCAAATCATACTATTTCTAATTTTCATGGCTTGGGAAAGGTTCCTATAAATATTCTACTTCTAATCTTCATAACTAAGGAAAGCTTTCTCAAAACATCCTACTGTATTTCTAATCTCAATGACTAAGGAACGTTTTCTCCAAGTATACGATTTTAAAACTTAGTACTACAAGAAAGGTGTTTCTAAACATATAATCTTGTTAACGACGGGAAATCTGTCTCTAGACATTCTATTTACAAACTCCATAACCAAGGAAAGCTCTCGTTAAATATTTCTAATCTTCACAACTAAGAAAATATCCCAGTAAACACACTATTTCTATTATTTATAACTAAGAAAATCTCTCTCCAAACATGCTATTTCTAATTTTCCTAGCTACGAAAAAGCTGTTTCTCAACACATTATTACTGATCTTTAAAACCAAAGAAATCTGTTTTTAAACATACTATTTCTAATTTTTGTAGCTAAGGAAAGCAGTCTCTAAACATACTATTTCTAAATTTCGTAGCTAAGGAAAGCAGTCTCTAAACATACTATTTCTAAATTTGGTAGCAAAGGAAAGCAGTCTCTAAACATACTATTTCTAATTTTCGTAGCTAAGGAAAGCAGTCTCTAAACATACTATTTCCATTTTTATTAACTGCGATAGCACAGTTTTTAAACATACAAGTTCACAAAGTCTCGTTTGTACTTACCAATAATCGTTACTACTGAAGAAATCCAGTAAAAATACTGTTATCATCATTCCTAACTGTAGAAGGCTATCTGAAAATGTGCTGTTATATCATTCATGAAAGAAAAAAAACACTGGCATAGCGTACAGTTATTCCAAGGATCCTGAAATGTACACCTTTAATCTTATTTCAGAAAAACTCTAACAAATAAACTGGCATCAACCATTATGACCATCCTAGTTTTAGAATGTTTCTAACATACTCAGTTGTTAACAAATGTTGTAATATAAATAAAGCATCTCTTCTATTCTAAATTTGCTGAAAAATTGTCATAAAATTTGCTTTTATAGACGTTCACAATTTCTGTAGAGATCTAGAAAAACTTTAAGTTAAAAAAAAGTTTTTTTTCAACTTATTAAGAAAATTTTCATAAAATTATTTCTTGTAAATCATCAAACTTCCGAAGAGATGTAGAATAACATTCTTTCAATTTTTAAATATTTTAGAAAATCACTCAAGATAAGTCGTTACAAGTCATCTTATTCGAAGTCTAAATAATATACTGCTGCTAATTTGAATAACTTTACGTGAGTTCAATCATATCATATATTATCACTAAGCTTAAAATGTAATACTAACATTCCTGACTTCGGGAGAGCTCCATTGAGAAGGGAAAGACAACGAAGGCCAACCTCCACCGGCTCCCCAAGCCTCAACAACGGCCGAAGAAGCGATGATCAACGTCGTTCCAAGAAGGGAGAGCGTAAAGGCGTGCATTTTGTAAATGCTACTGTTTCGTTTTGCGCTCTGGGGTCTTATGTACGAAGTCGGATATGGTCTCTTCAAGTATCGATTGTGTTCTGTACGTGTCTACCGTCTCGTTTTATAGAAAGGTGCACAAGTTACATATAAAGTACGGTTTCTGGCGCTTGCGCCTTTCCTCAACAATTCAAAAGTTCGATACCTGTGCTCGAACAAATCAGGTTTTTCGATGCAATATAGTGCAGAGAACAGCTCGCTGGTGATTGGAACAGAGCCTTATGATGGCGTCGTTTGACATTACAAGCCATGGAAAAACGATGCAATGTTCTAAGGAAAAGACCTTTGCGCCACGTTCTTGCTTCCACATCTTTATTTAGATGCGTCATTTTAAGCTAAAAAAAATAGAAACGTGAACCTTAAAATGTTGTAAATTGTGGTGACATATGTTCATATAATGATCCAAGTCACTCAATAAAATACTGATTTATTAAGTATAATCATTCCGTGTTCAGGTATTATATTTGACGTAAAGATATAAACCCTGAAAAATCTAAGTATGGCTGAAATAGAAACAGAAATATTTAGATAAATGTAGGCCAATAACGTTGAAATTCAGAAAAGCTAACTTAAGTAACTGGTCTAGGTAATATGACCTTTGTTCTAACAATGAAGAGATTTGATAAAGTAAACCTTAAAGAATCCATAAGAATAATATTCAAACATGTATAAACATTTTATTTCTTCATTCAGCTTGGAGCATTATGTTAATTATTAAAACAAAACAAGTTTTTTTGTCCTTCAAGTCCTGTAAGAAACGTGTTATTAGATGATTAATCCAATCATTGCTTAATGAAGATCTTATTCCCTTACTTTTCTAAAGGTTGAACAATATTTCTAGCAACTTTGCTATGGTTAGTCAAACACAAAGGTTGAGCACGTTATATTAAAACAAATTTGCACCTCATCACGTCGTTACAGTCCATGTCGCCACGTTCGATATGTATATCTGGTGGTCGTGCAGTCGTTACAGTCCATGTCGCCACGTACGGTTATGTATATCTGGTGGCCGTGCATCTTGATAGTAATTGTGAACGGTAGTTTCCATTGCAAAAGGGTCTATTGTAAGGCTATCATGTCCAAAGCACACCACTCCTCCCAGCTTAATCCAGCTAGTATACGAGAACGACAGTTCCCAGCGCACGTTTCAACACTTCATTTGCAACAAAATCCATAGTTGCTGCCTTTTGCAATATGACTGTATAAGTTTTTCTTCATTACCCATTTAAGCCGTCTCCAGCCATTATTAGTCTCAAAGTGGGTTCCTCGTCATCGAATATGACTGTATATCTCACCAGCACGGAATAGCGTGAATACCCGTTTCTTTCTCCAATTACTGGACGTATGCTACAGTTGAACGTAAGATGTCATTGAAAAACTTAGCTTGGTGAGCCAATGCTCTATTGGACTCGTTCACAGACGAAGATCTTTCTTGGTTATATTGTGTACTGTTGCCTTAAATATGTGAATACCTTTTCCCACTGATCTTTATGTTCTTGAATTCTTACCACTTACTATATGCTACATCTTTCTTACCACAGTCTGTGTATGACTTTTTGCTGGTCTCTTTCTGAATGGTCGGGGTCCCAAGCTGATCCATATTCCATTGTTTTCCATTGCCATTAAGTACAAGAGATATTCCAGTCCAAGAAATGATAAATCCCAGATCGGAATACATCTTTATGGTCTGAATATTTTGTGTATGAAAGGGCTGTTACATACTTTTGTTAGTTTCTGCTTTCATTCATCCAATTTGTCTGAAGACCTCACTACAGTAGTGAAGATCTATAGTTTATAAGATACTTTTAACTGTTTCTGTTTCCTTACATCAGTTTTACCTAAGGGACCTTATTTCAACAGTCATGATCTATATATCTTGTGATATTTTAAAGAGTTACAGCTCTTCTTCATCGAATGGAAGTGGAAACATTTGTAGTTCAACCATAATAGCAGTCTAGGAATAATTGATCGATACTTCTTTACTAGGAGCTTCTTCCAAGGAACTAATGCGATTAATCTCGTGAAAAAAGTCGTGGGGTGACTGTATGATTGCATACAACACACACATTGATATAAGATCGTGGGGTGGCTGTATGATTGCATACAGCACACACATGGATATAAGAACGTAATCTATGTAGCAATCCCAACTTGAGCCTCGCTCTACCCAGTTGCTCTATAGCTTTACGTCAGGGTTTGAGAGCAGACAAGTTCTCTCGTTTTATAAGGTGTGTTTGGGGTTTATTTAACTGTTTTCTTCTTTAGAGCAAATACAACTTTAGATCACATCATTGACTTTTCCTGATCACGTTTTCACTACTTGATGAGCATGCGTGCTTTGAAGCTAGTTCAATGTGTGTGTGTGACGAAACTAATTCAGACTCATAACCTAAAAATTTTGAAACGACAAAACAAAGGATCGTCGTAATTGCAGACTTTGTTTCACATACAACTTATCTGCAATACTTCTTCAAATTTTGGAAATCCATTTCTCACAGATCCGTGGTACAGTTGCCAGATGCTCTTCCTTTATTCAACGGTGCATTTTCAAAAGATAATTTTTTACCATTTCTCTGTACGTATTTGTAGTTGTCTGTTTATTTTCCCATCCATTAATACAACGTAGTTATATCAAACTATCTGTCTGTAATAGTTATCTATCCTTTAGTTGGTTTTGAAGTGTTCGCCGGGTTTTTAACGCTAACATTTATCCTTCGGGCTTTTTTTTAATAAAAGTATTTTTAACCATACCTTTAAGTGTAAAAGTATTAAATAGAAAGCAATCATTTTGTGTTTGAAATTATACAGATGTTCATTCTGCTAAGTACAAAGAGAAACCTTTCACTGTATACCAGATCTCCTACAAAATACAAACAGCTTATAGAAGCTGTACAATGTATGATTGATATATTTCTTCCTGGAGCTTAAATAACAAATATAAAACTTTCTGTTTTTATATTGTAAGATCAATTATATTAAATTGAGGATTTTTCCTCTTTGAAATACACAATTCAATTAAAAATGAAAACTATAATAACATTTCAAAAAGTAATAATAAGGTTTTTAGACGTTTAGAAACTTACATTAACCAGTTCTTGGTCTGGTTAGAATCACCCATCAGTGGCACTAAAAACTTGGTTTTGATGCCCGTGGTGGGCACAGCACAGCTAGCCCATTATGTAGTTTTGTTCTTAACTACAAACAAAGAAACTAGTTAAAATCATCATGTCGATATTTAATTGGGGTGCATGTGTTACACGTGGTCTTTATTTCAGTTAATCTAAATTAATGCAATTTAAGAAAAAATAGGAAGCTGCTAGAAGTGTAAGGAAAACCTTGGTAACTTAAGGTAATTTAGGCTGTATTTATGGGTTTAATAACTGATACTGTGAGTATAAGCGTAAAGTTAAAGTCCCGCCAAATATATATATGTTTCTTTTGTTTTCTTGTTTGTTGTTAAGCAAAAAGTTACGCAATGGGCTATCTGTTCCCACCATGGGTACTGAAACCCGGTTTTTAGCGTTATAAGTCTATATATATATATGTATGTGTGTGAATATGACTGCTTTCTACACACAGTCCAAAACTTTACCTTACACTGCGTAATTCCAGACACGGTTTTGAATCAAATCTATCTAAGTACCTATTGAATGAAATACCCTTTAGACATAACTAGTATACATGAAAGTCTTTCAAATAAAAGGTTTTTCTGAACCTGCATGAGACCAATGCGCTAAAGGTTGACCGCGCAGAAGATTTAACTATTCTAATAGAAAAGTTGTTCAGGTTTTATTCTCTAAAATCAGATAACAGCGAATCGTCTTCAGCCTTATAACTCAAAAAATAATAATAATAAGAGAGAGAGAGAGCCTGAACCAGTTTCAATGATCACTAAGATAGTCCCTGCACCAGTTCCAATGATCACTAAGATAGTCGCTGCAAGCCTGATGAATCAGAACCTGTTGGTGTGATAATTAACTTTAACACCCCTATATATATACATCAATATTTTTCAATACTGCTACTGGTGGTTGCACAATTATGCCGGTAATTGGTGGTATTAATAATTACTAATGAAATAATAGTTTCCTTAAAATGAATACATCATGGTTAGAATTCAATATTTTCTAAAAGCTTACCATGCAAGGGACAATTTTAAATGTTATTTTTTAGTCTTTTTTTCCAACTAATACGAGGAACTTGTAGCGAAAAAGGGATGTTTTTATATACCTTCTAAATCTTACAGCGACAGTACTCACTTTAAACAAACTGACACTCATGAGTATAAAAATATTTTCAAAGTTGATAAAAATAAATAAATTTATACACAGACTTTTCAAGCCTCTAGATCATGAAATGTTTTCAATAACATTCAATATAGCACTAAGTCACAAAAAATATTTTTAAATTTCAAGTTTCATTGTGTTATGTTATTAACGTATTTTGTATAAAGAATAACGTACAAGGTAAATAGTTATATCTATATATCACATTTTCCATCCTATTCTATCACTTGCATATATAATTCTTTTTGGTAATTGAACAACATAGCCAACATTAGAATGAAAAAGACTTTCAATAATAATCCGAATCTTTAAGTTCATGAATATGCGTAACATGGGAATTTATAACCTTAAACAACCATTTGAGTCTGCATAAGAGGAGAGGAAGTACTGTGAAAATTTAAATAAATAATATTGCAAGGTTAGGGCACGTCATTTTAAACACGTCCTTATTAAGGTGTGGATTTTTAAGAATGTTATAGATAGCAGTTTTTACTATAATATAAACATTTCAATTTATCCTTTAAATATATATCAAACATACGATAGTGAAAGCATGCCACAGCACAGTTAGTTAACAAAAAAAAAAAGATTCTTATTCCAAAAGGACGTTTAATAAAGCCCTCCGGTAGCTCAGCGCTAAAATTCGGGTTTCGATGCCCGCGGTAGGTAGAACACAGATAGTATATTGTGTAGTTTTGTGCTTTAAAACTCACAAACAAAACCTTCAATAAAAATTATTGTTTGTTGTTAAGCGTAAAGCTACACGAATGTGGCCTAGCATTAGTGTGCCGGGCTGCGAATAAGAAGGCGAAGATTCGCGTCCAATGCCACTGAACACAGCTGTG